TTTCTTCGCTTCGCAGTTGGCGGAAATAGTATTAGAACATGGACCAGACGTCTTGGGCATTCCCATGGAGATGAAGAAAGAGATTTTATTAAATCTACACGAAGCTTCTCTAGCCATGGACCCACCAGAGGATTGGGAAGGTGCAATGCCTGACCAAATTGTGATGCAATTGGCATCATCCTGGGGAATTGATGTGCAACAGCATGACAAATAGTTTTTTCCCTATAAATTCATAGCTTTGAGAAATATTTTTATACTTTGTTTTTCATTTAGGCTCCAATACTTGTTTCAAGTCTTGAACCATGAACATTGAGCCGTGTGTATTGAATGTATATTTTTGCCTTGTAACTTCTTGCAAATTTGGACATGAATGTATATTTTTGCCTTGTAACTTCTTTTCAGAATATATCATTGCTGCTTGGTTTTGATCAGAGCTTTTTGACCCTGATTGTGTTAGAACCACAATTCAAACCGTGCGTATTCAATTTTTTTTTTTTACCTCTTGATGGACTGTTATACAAAAGTTATTTCTTGCTCAAAAAACAGAATTTGATGATATTAACAGAAACAGACAATGAAATTTTCATATGTACAAGGTACGCATATCTTGGCGCTCAATACCACAAGATTACATTCAACGCAATCAAAACCTTTTATGATACAGCAGCAGATGAGGCCCTCAGAATAATTTAATTCTTGGCCGTTTGTGACAGACACATCATCTTAGATGATGGAAAATTTCACACCAGCCCTCATATAACTCAATTCCATTGGATTAGCGCTTTACCCGGACTGGCAATCAGATGGCGACTATTTGGATCATCACAGATTTAATCTGCGAAACTAGAGTGAGTAGGAAGCCTCGGATCCAAAGCAGTAATCGCTTACTTTGCGGCATACCAGTTTTGTGCACACTTGGCATCAACAGCAAGATCAACATTGAGGATATTCTTGCCGTCGAAGGGCTTTGACATGCACTCGACAACAATTGCCTTGGCGACCTCGGCTGACTCTGTTAGGTTTGGCGAGGGACCTTCAGCAAGAAGTGTTTGGCAGGCTTCAAAGGACGAGGCAACCTTAGAAGCGATTCGGGTCGCTGGAGAGGACAATGGAGCATCTCGCACAGCCAGAGTAGCCATCCCAGAGTTGACTGCAGAGGCTTTGGGAGATGACAATGTCGAGCAAGAGCGGGACCCAGTTTGGACCTCTTGGACTAATGCAATGGATGCCCTTCAAGTTGGTGATATGGATACAGCCTATGCTGAAGTGTTGTCTACAGGGGATGATCTCTTGCTTGTAAAGCTAATGGACAGATCCGGTCCTGTGATCGACCAACTGACAAATGAAGTAGTGAGCGAAGTAATGCATGCTGTTAATCAGTTTTTGTCAGAGCAGAACTTGTTTGACATCTGTTTGTCTTGGGTTCAACAGGTATTCATATTCCTCAAGTTTTCATTGGCTAGTTTCTTTTAAGAGCTTGTTGATATGCTATGTCACAGAAATGCATTTGATCAGCACTGAAAATCAAGCAACTTTAGCTATACTTCCCTAGACGAGCCTTCTAGTTTTTTGTTTTTTAGTTTGTAAGCATTGAAAATGCTGCTATTTTCTGAATGGAGTGGTTTAATTTCTATGGAAATTCTTCATATATTGGTTTGAGATTAATTGGTCTGATTTTTTTTTTTTTTTTTTTTTTTTTTTTTTCCTTTGCTTCTCTAGCCATGGACCCACCAGAGGATTGGGAAGGTGCAATGCCTGACCAAATTGTGATGCAATTGGCATCATCCTGGGGAATTGATGTGCAACAGCATGACAAATAGTTTTTTCCCTATAAATTCATAGCTTTGAGAAATATTTTTATACTTTGTTTTTCATTTAGGCTCCAATACTTGTTTCAAGTCTTGAACCATGAAACATTGAGCCGTGTGTATTGAATGTATATTTTTGCCTTGTAACTTCTTGCAAATTTGGAAATTAATGTATATTTTTGCCTTGTAACTTCTTTTCAGAATATATCATTGCTGCTTGGTTTTGATCAGAGGTTTTTGACCCTGATTGTGTTTGAACCACAATTCAAACCGTGCGTATTCAAATTTTTTGTGACCTCTTGATGGACTGTTATACAAAAGTTATTTCTTGCTCAAAAAACAGAATTTGATGATATTAACAGAAACAGACAATGAAATTTTCATATGTACAAGGTACGCATATCTTGGCGCTCAATACCACAAGATTACATTCAACGCAATCAAAACCTTTTATGATACAGCAGCAGATGAGGCCCTCAGAATAATTTAATTCTTGGCCGTTTGTGACAGACACATCATCTTAGATGATGGAAAATTTCACACCAGCCTGATATAACTCAATTCCATTGGATTAGCGCTTTACCCGGGCTGGCAATCAGATGGCGATTTTTTGGATCATCACAAATTTAATCTGCGAAACTAGAGTGAGTAGGAAGCCTCGGATCCAAAGCGGTAATCGTTTACTTTGCGGCATACCAGTTTTGTGCACACTTGGCATCAACAGCAAGATCAACATTGAGGATATTCTTGCCGTCGAAGGGCTTTGACATGCACTCGACAACAATTGCCTTGGCGACCTCGGCTGACTCTGATGGCCCTTCCAAGATTACTTCATCATGAACCTGTTGTTGCAAAAATAGAATTTTCAGTCTCTATCAGAGGCCTAGCAAGTAGCAGGTATGAGAAATTAACCGGAAATAAAAAAAAAATGTTTTGAACAAATCAAAAGTAGGGGGAAAAGGCAAAATCCAAATCAGGAAAACGTCTTCCAAAACTAAAACACAGTTTCGACCACTAAAATATGCGTAAAATAACAATTATATCTCTCAAACAATATAAATTTCATAAAACCAACATACTGCTACAAGTGAATTAGTTCAAGGCATGTTTTAGAGAGCTGTTTTTATCGTTTTAGAGGGGCATTTTGGGCATTCTAAAAACATTAACGATCAAGGGGTGTCATAGTTCAAGGCATGTTTTAGAGAGCTGTTTTTATCGGTATAGAGGGGCATTTTGGGCATTCTAAAAACATTAACGATCAAGGGGTGTCATTGTAATATTGATAAAAATCAGGGGATATCAGCGTGATTTTTCCATCCAAATAAAGATGGCTACAGACGGAAAAAGCCAAGTAAATTGCGGGTGATTTAAATGCAGCTAGTAGTAAAACACCAGTTCTAAGAAATTATATTGCCAAACAAAGCAGCGGATGTATGGTATTTAATATGTAATAAATATATGGGCGTGTATGATATGAACTATACCTGTAAAAGCAACCTCCATCCAAGCTCCTTCAAACGTTCATGTTTGGAGATCTCCAACATGGCACACATGGCAACATCAGCAGCACTACCCTGTTACAGTTTATCACTCAATCAGCATGAGAGAGAGAGAGGGCGAGAGAGAGAGAGAGAGAGAGAGAGAGAGAGAGAGAGAGATGGCCTTGAGGAACAACCTGCACGGGTGTATTAATTGCAGCCCTTTCGATGTGACCTCTTTGAGCATAAGTAGAGGTTTCCATTGAAGGGAACCAGCGGGCACGTCCTAGCAAGGTTCGAACACATCTGTCACGGCGAGCTTCCTCTTTACGCTTCTCTTGCCATCTTCGCACTTCTTGCCTTTCTTTGTACCAGAGTTCAACAGTTTTCTTTGCTTCTTCCAGAGAAACCTGAGACCCATAATAGCTGATTGAATCAATCTTTACATTAGGCAAAAAGAGAGAAATAAAAATAGCAACAATATGTTGTGAACTTCCGTCGGTACCTTCCAATCCCGGGCAAGTCCAACTGGAGTTTTCCCATATGCAATTGAAAAGTTGAGCATTTTCGCTTTTCTTCTTTCAGAACCAAATGCATCCTTGAAAAGAAAAATACACACACATGTATCGTGAGTTAAAAAACCGAGTCGAACTGAATAGCTCTAAATTTTTCCAATTAAGTGATCTAACTTAAGCTAATTAAACCAACTTATTTGAATATAGTTTAAAATTTGTTTTAAATGAATCAGCAAAAATTTACCTTCAGCAATGGAACTGGAGGTTTGTCTTCTCCAGGTTGAGGATCCCACTCAAGAAGAACCTGTTTTGTCTCAACGGCTTCACGAATATGGGCATACATATTCATTGCTGTCCTCGAATGAAAATCTCCACCAGCTTCGAACGCCTCCAACATGCTCTTACAATCGGCCAGATGAGCCAGAATCCGAAGTTCCAACTGCGATACCAGCAGATATCAATAAACAAATGAAACTCAATTTAGGAACCACCCTCGCAATACCAATAACTCACCTGTCCATAGTCAGCAACAATAAGGGAATTTCCAGGTGCGGCTATAAATGCTTGACGGATCTTATATCGGTCTTTCTCCAGAGCAGGTTGATTCTGATTCAGCAAAATAGGAAAAAGAATAAATAAAAAGTGATCACCATCCAAATCTCCAATGTAGTTTGGGTATTGGCAACAGATAGGTTGAAGAACCAAATAATTTATTGGACATGAAGCTGAACGAAAAATCAACGGAAACTATGACCACTCGAGCTCGATCCCTGGTTGCTCAGTGTGGTGGTAAAGTTTAGAGTTTACAAGAATTTATGCCATGCTCATACTTGAACTGAATCTAACAATAGTTTCAATTTCAAGTGGAGAAAACAACCTGCAAATTGGGCCTCCTAGCAGATAAGCGCCCGGTTTCTGTATTGATGTTTAGCGAGCAATGAATACGCTCATCCTTGCCTGATATATTGCGGCCCTGTGGTACACAGAAAACAGCATATACCTCCAATTAGTTTAAAGCCATGAGCGTATACCTGCAATTAGTTTAAAGCCTTGACTATTTGTTTCCCACAACGTTATAAGAAATCCATAAAGGTACGGCCTCTGACATTATATAGAATTTGCCAGTAATAAATAGGAATTGAAAAGATGGTGTTATTTGGGAAAATTCCGTAGAAAGCTGGAAATAGGGCTGAAAATGGAGAATTCCAACCACACATTCTCCCAAAAACACTAGAGACATGGAGAAATTATCCACTTCCTATACAGGAATTCAATAGAAACAAAGACATGGCGAACGACTCTTGACAGTCAAAGCAAACCCTTTCATTCGGAACCAAAGAACGGTCAAAGCAAACCCTTTTATTCGGAATTAAAGAATTCATAATGAATCAAACATCCCCAAGTAGGATCCGAACCTCCAACCACTCAATTAAAAGCTTACTGCTATACATTTTGCATATATGAATTAAAAAGATGGTCAAGAGAAGTACTACAGCATGGTAACAGAAAAATTTACCTGCAAAGGGAGGATGAAGTTGGAAATTAGTGAATCAATGGCACAAACTTCACACAGAGCAGCAATGGCATGGCATGCTTCTCTTCCCTCCTCCTCCGTATCAAATGCTTCCAATGCTGTTCCATAAGCAGAATTGCTCACTTCTTGCTTTTCTGGTTCTTGCTTTTCAGAAATTTCATCCACGCTTGCATCAATATCACCTTCGACTTCGACACTGGACTCTGAGTGTTCGGCATCACCCGTGAAATCAAATTCTGCAGAGACCGTCCCAGCCAAAATCTTTAGGGCGTTTATGCTGGTTGAGGGCCAACCACTCGCTGTGTACATCTCCACAGGGAAATTAGCTTCAATTTTATGTATTGTGATATTGTGAAATTTTAATGGAGCCTTCTTTCCTTCTTCAATCACTTGATCAACATTTGGAACTTTAAAAGTCTTCTCCAGGGGAAGACTCTCATCAGGGTTCTTTCTGCCACAGGAAATAACCAAGTAATTAGAGATTCTCTTGGGAAACAGTATCATGATAATACTTTTAATTGACATTTTCTGGCTCTAGAATAGCATAAAAGTTGCATTTTCTACACAAATTGAGGAAAAAATAATCAAGAGTCCCATGCGACCAATATGGTTTAAATAAAACTTTATCACTGTATAGATAGATCTTATTGTCCACATATAGCTAGGAACTCCACAATAATGATATTCTTCACAAAGATTTCACTTTTGTGCATAGATCTCTGGCATACTGACAGTTTAGTCCACATAAATTTTGCAGGGAAGCCATAAAGCAAATAATCGTTCTGCTCCTCTACACGTGTAGTCATTAGAAAAGAGATATATATATATATATGTATGTATCTGCAGCTTTGACATTTGCATAACGCATTAAACACCTGCAAGATTAAGAAATACCATGACAACAACTTCTGAAAATACACATGAGATGAAAATATAGGTTTTAGCCTCCCAAAAATAAAAAAAATAAAAAAAGAGTTTACTTTTAAGAGAAAGATACAGCTTTGCAACTTGGCAGCAAGTAATACAAAACCACCGGTTCCGGCATGTTGACTTTAACCAGTAAACTTGACAGCAGAAAAATTCAAACTTATAAAGAGCGTGAAGACATTTCAAGACGAAGAAATTGAAAAATATGAGACCAGGATTCTATCATGTCAATATTGCAAACAACATACATCCTTGTTACATGTCATAAAGTGCATTTACCATTGTTATAACCAAGGCCCGTCAGTAAGCTAATAAGTATTTCTGACAGTACAGACGCATAAGAGACCAATCTCGTAAACTAGCCACGAGAAGATCTAACCTTCTAAAACCATCATAATCAGATCTTGAAAGATGCTTATCTCAAAAACACGTATCATTTACCTGTTCTGAATCCCACCGAAAAGGAGCTGGCGCAGTTGTGTATCACTTCCAACATTCATGTACTTGGTATCTGGACAATACTTGGAAGCCCACTTGCGGAACCTGTTAACAGCAACCTCTTGCTCCCTCTTTGCTAACTTTTCCATCTCAGCAAGATATGCCCGATCAACCAGCATCCCCTCAGTCTCCATTTTAGCTAGAAGCTCGCCAAACGGACGCCAGTATTTTTCATAAAAATCAAGCATAGATTTTCCAGGGGCTGCCTTGCCATTAATTTGCCATGACTTATTTGATAGTTTTCTTCTCAAACTCACATAAAGCTTACGCGTACTAATTGCATCTAGGGCAGAATAACAGATCCAAGGCACCCGCTCTTCTCTTTGTAGCACCTCGACCGGCGCAATAGTAGTCAATTTGCCTTCAGTTCCATCTTTCTTTAACTTTTTTCTGCCAAATATGGTTTTCATTGACACTTTACCCATTAAATCCTTTTCATTGAAGAGTAGCCCAGAGTCAGACATGGTAATTGGGTCACCCGTAAGTGCTTCAAGAGAATAACCACCCATTGCACGCCTTGATGAATCCCACAGACGAGCCATATGCATTGTGTCAGCGTGAAAACCAGAAAGTTTAAGACCATAGTTCTCTATAATATGGCTGTCAAAGCTATAATTGTGCCAAACCTACAAAGTGTACAAGTAATGTAATTATTCAATCCTATTTCTCAATCAAGTACGCCCCTTGGTTTGCACCAGCCAGGGTGAATACAAGGAAAAATCAACGCTGATTAAAAGAAACTGGATGTTGCCATAAGGTTATTACGGACTCATCAATGTGACATTGGCCAAAAACGGTATTAGGAGATCTTACAGAAGAAGGCTGGGGGTAGAGAGTTGGATACAGGACAACATTTAAGTAGATTGCAAATAATTGAGGACAACAAATGATTAAGAGAAACTCAATCAATAGAAAACAACAGTCTTGATCTATGATTGGCATATAAATGTTAATAAATCTCAGAAAGAACAAGGTTTACAACAATGTACTAGGCCCAAACCATGAGAGGATAACTAAGTAGCTACTTGTTCATATAGTCTTCAGCGAATTTCAGTTCAGATTATTGTACAGATAAGGCAATTCAATTGACAATTTATCAAAACCTCAATATTTACTTATTAGTAATTAAAGCACATACCAAGATCTCTATGGATCAAGATAACTAAATCGGCAAGATAAACTACCTTTTTAATGGAAGGATCTTCAAAAAATGGGGCAAACTCAGTTAAAATTTTCTTTCCGTCACCATCAAGCAAATCTACCCAGATACAAGACTTCCCATTTCCAAAATCAGCTTCTGGTCCGCAGTAAATACTGAAACATATAATCTCCCCATGATCAACTGGAGTTTCGTCCTTCACATCAATCTTGGCCACCTATTAACATTATCAAAAGCAACGATATAGGATCTCAATTCTCTACATATAACAATATGTCCATAGCCAAGAGGTAAGCATGAAAGGCAATGGCTTTTAGTGGTTCTAAGTCAGCTGAAAAAGGTAACTTGTAGTAGAATTTGCATACCTCCGTATCACACGCATGGACAAGATGCCTGTAAGAGTTAGTAAGCAACTGGACAACTTTCCTCGCAACAGGGACACTATTTACAACAAGAACTTTGTTGTATAATTTAACAAGCTCCCCACGAATATTTGGAGTCTTCTTAGGCTGGACTACCTCTGTTGAACCTTGCTCTGGCAATAATTCCGACTGACTTGAACCATTAATTATATGACCATTGATCTTGTTCACATCTAGAGCAAAATCTTCGGCACTAACATCATGCATTCCAATTGGAGCAGGCACCTGATCCAAATCAAATTTTTGCTGTGGCTTTGCAACCCTTTTCTCAACATTAGGAAGTGTGTTATTCCTTGATTTTGGACCATCGGTCTTGTTCATATCTAGAGCAAAATCTTCGGCAGTAACATCATGCATTCCATTTGGAGCAAGCACCTGATTGGAATCAAGTTTTTGCTGCAGCTTCGCAACCATTTTCTCAACATTAGGAGGCGTATTATTCCTTGATTTTGGTTTCTGTGATAACTTTGCATTCCTCACGCCAACTGCTTCATCACAATGTACCTTATCTTGCCCCAAATGGTTGGAATCATGAGGAGGCCTTTCAGATCCTTTATCAAAATAAGAAGGCACGGTCTTCATCTTGTGTTGTGCTTGCGATATTGTCTCCTTCCAAGTGTCCATTTCAGTGAAAGGCACAGTTAAATTTCCCTTACTATCAAAATTCCTTCCATCAGAAAATTCGTAAGGTTTGTGTTCAACATTCTTTTTCGTATTCATTTGACAGTAGGTGATACTCACCACACCATCTGTACACTTTACATTAGGGACTTCCATTCTGTTTCTTTTATACACTTCAGCCTGTTCTTGCCAAGACTGTTTAGTCCCAATTTTGTGTCGCGGTAAGGGATTTCCTTCAACCAATGGATTGGTGAAAGAAACACTACACATGGAAGTATTTACAGAACTCTGGTTTTTGCAGATATCACGCCTGCAATTTGTTTCAGTGCCAATACAAAAGAGAGCAAAATGTTAATAAGAGTGGCAATTTCTATTTCCATTATAGGCACAAGAGTAACAGATAACCCCTTTAAGCAGGTAACACTATTAAGTCACACTTCCCCTCTCATCTTCAACTTTATTTCAACTAATTTGTTCCCGTGCTTAATCTTTCTTAAGTTTTCCATAGTGTAAAAAAAAAAGTCCAAATATCCCTCGACATCAAGAGTGTAATGCTCAAGAAACCAAGTGTAAACACAAAATTTGAAATAAACAGATACAACCCAATAAATACAAATAAAAAAAAAATCTACAACTTCTCAAAGGGAGCTCCTTTTCTTTAACCAACCCAGAAACCTTACCACAAGTGTTCCACTCACGAAGCAACAGGACAACATTTGACACAAAAGAATCAAAGGAAAAAAAAAAAAAAAAAAACAACAACAACAACGACACACACACAATACACTAGCATGGGCTGAACTAGTGCTAAAAAAATTAAGATTGGCTAAAATTCAACTTAACCCCTTTTACACTGGTCACCATCTCATTATCAACTCTATTTCAACTCATTCCTTCTATGCTTGTATATTTTCCAAGTTTTCCAGTGTAGCATCAAGAAACCACGACTAAGCACACATATTTTGCAATAACATACACAACCCAAGCAAAAAAAAAAAAAAAACCATTGAACTCACAGAGAGAAAAAAAAAAAAAAATTGGCACAAAAGAATCCCACCAACAAAAAAGAAAAATAAAGAGAACCCAGATAGAAAAACCAACAGAAATCCGAAATAACACAAGAAAAGAAGTGATATTCAGAACCGAACCTGTGGACGGCCTCGGAATAAGCTGAGAGAGGGCGAGCAGAAGAAGAAGAGGAATAGGAGTGAGCCACAAAGGAGAAGCAAGAGGAAGGCCTCTTGAGGAGAGAGAAGTGAGAAGGGAAGGCGGGACCCAGTGGGCCGCAATACGAGGCGCCGGTGGCCATGGCCTCCATGAGTCTCCCGCAATGGGTCAAACGGCAAGGACCAGCCAGAGTTGTATTGTTATGGGTTTGGTTCGACAGTGGCAAAACCCGTAAAAAAGGGTCGGTTTGAGGCGCTTATTGGGGGTTTTTGGTTGGTTGGCCCGAGGCTATAGCAGAGCAGGGTATGGCCATAGATAGAGACTGAAGAGAGAGTTGAAGAAGAAGAAGAAGAAGAAGAAGAAGAAGAGAAGGCTAAAACCCTGCGGCTCTGAGAGGGAAAATCTCATTGTGTTGTTATGTTTTGTTTGTGTACGGACAAACAATTTTTCTGGCTGCCAGCTGTTCGTCCCTTGCTTATTGGCAATTTGGCATTTGTCGTTCGGCTGTTACCATTAGTGTTCGTTTCACCGATTCGAGTTTAGAATTAAAATTTTGTTACAGGAAAAAAATTTTAAAAATAATTACATCTAATTTTTTTACTACAGTAAAAAATTCTCACATAAAATCACATCTGAACTCGAATTATACACTTAAATCAACAAAATAAATGGACACTAAAATATTTCAATTTAAAATTAAAGTTTTATTACGGTACAAAATTTTAAAAAATAATTATATTTAATTTTTTTATTAAAATAAAAAAATTTTATATAAAATTATATTTTAATTAAAATTAAAAATTTAAATCAGTAAATTAAACGGACTGTAAATTATTTTTTGTGCTGGCTCTTAAATTTTTCATTTTGGCGATTTATCCTCCGAAATTGTCATGTTATTTTGATATGGCAGAAATTAATAGTGTTGTTTAAATTGGTGACGGAAAAATGAGGTTAGTTGTTTAAAAGGGTTCCGATCAGTAAATAGGTTCAAACTATGATGGTTTGAACTTTTATAGTTTGGAATAAAAATTTTGAAATATGTGGTTTAAATTTTAGTTTAAAATATTAAAAACAAGAAGGGGCTTCTCTTTTTAGTTCAAAACATTAAAAAATTTTGCCTAGTGCTAGTTTAAAACAACTTTTTCATTCAAACCACTTAAACTTGTGTATCAATCAGCACCAAAACAAAAGTTCAGAGATTAACTTGTCAAAGTATTACGGGTGTGAAAACAATGTGATGGGTATTTTTGTCAAGAATTTAAATGGAGTTTAGCACTTTGAATCATATTGCAAAAGATTTAACAAATTTAGGTAATTAAGCGCAAAATTAAAAGTTTAGAAGGTAAATTGTGAATAGACAAAAAGTTTAATAAGACGTTATAGACCTATAGTGCTGAAAACTCTATTTGGTATTATTCATATTGTTAATTATTCTGTTGAAAATTAATTTTTTTTAAGAAATAAGTGATTGGATAATTTAGAGAAAATTAAAAATTTTGAGAAGTTAAATAAAAAAATTGAATTTTTAAGCTGAAAATTTCTTTTTGTAAACTTTATATTTGTTAATTAAAATAATTGATAGATATCGTATTTATAAATAAATTTGATATTTATTAATACATTTTATGTTTAATGAGTAAATATGTTCTATTTAAATTCATTTTATGTTGGTTGTTATTTTCAATTTTTTATTTTCGATAAAATGATACTTGTTACCAGAACACCAGTGGCATGTCATCATCGGAATTTTAACGAGCTAAAAATTGATATTAGTGTATTATCCTATTTCATCAATAATCAAAGGAAATGTGTAGTCTTCAATAATAATATAGAGTCCTGTTCTTAACATCAATATATATATATATATGTATATATTTATAGCCCTGTTGTTATTACTAATTGTGTTATTTCCTCTTTATTGCCGTTTCATGATTGTCGTCATTTACCAGGATGTCGCTGCCACCATTTTCGTCGTTCGCTCATTTGGGAGCTTTTTTACTTCATTGTCGTTTCTTGTTTGACGTTATTTTCTATTTGATTGTCATTTATTTTTATCGCCGTTTCCTTTTTATTATCGTTTATCATGGTGAAATCGGACCCAAATAGAGATAAAAGATGGAAGAGAATGACTGCAGAAAAAAGAGTGACCTCAAAGATTTCTTTAATGGAGGTAATTATATGATTGGTAAACGATGAAGTGTAAATGATATAACTAGTAAATAACTGCCTACACCTTGGAAATAACTGTGAATTTCTTCCCAATTAGCCGATCTATGAAAATATATTTTTTTCTCCAAAAAGGAATAATTATATTTGGCTTTGGTTCCTGTGATATATACTTTGATAACTTGCTTTATGCAACCATTGATGTGATTTATGTGTAAATATATCGATAAGATTAGAGAGGAACGCTTGCCAAGGGATATGACCTACAAAGGAAATAAAAGGAGAAAGGTTTCAAATACAGTATGGTTAAGGTGAGTTGTATTCTAAGGTCTCGTTTATTTCACCGATTTAAATTTGCAGTTTTAGATTTTTACAGTAAAAAGTTTTTAAAAAATGTCACAATAACTTTTTTTGCTACAGTGAAAAGCTCTCAGAAAATGTCACATCTCAGCTTGAATTGAAAACTCGAATCCATAAAGTGAACGAGGCCTAAGGGTATGTTTAGTTCGCTGATTCAAATTTTTAATTTGAGTTAAGATGTGACTTTATGAGAGAGCTTTTTACTGTAGCAAAAAAGTTAGATGTCACTATTTCTGAGAGTTTTTTACTGTACTAAAACTCGAATCGGTGAAATGAACAGAAAAGTTTTAATTTTTGAGATTTCTTATCATATCTCTGTAACGGATATAATAAATCCGAGTCTCGTATCATTTAACTATAAGAATAAACACCACCTTAAAATAATATTAAACAACTCCAACGTTTCAAGTTGGTTGCTTTTTAGATGTGTCTATCTTAACCTTCGCTATTAATATTTTATTTCTAAACTACATATTTTGTCAATGAACTTCCCTATCTAAAACCCCATCGTGCTGGTAATGCCCTTTGATGTATTTATGTTATTTTCACGTTTTTTTTTTCCTCGTTGTATTGTTTTTTTTTTTAACAAACTTTTGTGATTTTATTTTCCATTTATTAAATAGTTTGTGTTAGGAGCAAGCTAGGATATGATAAGAGTTGCTTTCTGGGTGCCGACTTATGCGGTCTGTGAAATTTAATATGTCATAGTACTTTTGTGAGATATGTTTTTTTTTTAGTTGCAATGAGTTGCAAAACTTTTTATGTTTTTTTCCCTCCTTTTAAGAATGACAGAGGAGATTCTTTGTTCAATTGTTCCATTGTGTCACGTTTGAGCCTAAGAACCAACATTCTCTCAAGAACATGGAGAGATTTGTGGAAAACGTCGCTGAAGAAACTCGATTTTGACGAGAAAAACATGCCGGGGCTCCGAATCAGGGCCTTCACAAGATACGTCGAGCATGTTTTATCTCTCGATTGCGGAACCGAGATAAAGTCCTTTAGGGTTAAACGTTATTTTCCAGCTAAACAAAAATACAATTTCATGGTTGATACATGGATAAAATATGCCCCAAAGAAGAAAGTTCAAAACCTTGAGATAGACTTTTCCAAAAAAGAACCTAATTATATCTATGACTACTACAAAATTTTTAAATTTCTTGATTGGTCGCTTCCCAAGAAGAACAAGGAAAAAGACACCTTAAAGCACTTGACTTTGAGCTCTTGTTTATTAGAATTTCCAAGGTAAAAAAAAAAAAAAAAAATTTGTGGGGTTTTATTTCACTTACGTCCTTGACTCTAAAAAAAACTGAAGTGGATGAAGAAAATTTGTTGCACATGTTATCTTGTTGCTCGTCACTTTGAGTGGTTGAGTCTTGAACAATGCTATTCTTTTAGAAGTTTGAGGTTCGCTAGTTTATCATGTGACACTCTTAAGTTGAAGCACTTGGGCATATTTAGGTGTCGTTTTCAATAAGAGTTCGATATTCGTGAAGCCAAGAATTTGATGTCGTTTGAGTATTCTGGAAACAGTTACGCGCATTTTGTTGATGTATTCGTGTCATGATTTGAATCGTGATTCGTGATTCGCTATAATATTTTTTCTCACAAAAAACACACGTAAATCGAGAATAATTCTGAATCTGTGAACCAAACGTCCACAGCTTTTACCCCAAGGAGCACCAATTAAAAGGGTTTCCTTGTGTAAGGTACATGCATTTAACCAAGATGACTTTTAAAATTATGCCCCTGCTAGCCTTGCAAGAGATTTTCCTCAACTTGAATCATTGTTATTCACCTTCACAGCCAATTCTGAGATAACTTTCGAAGTATTATCTTTTTCCTTTCTTCCTTTTTTTTTCTTTTTTTCTTTTTATGTCGTTTCCTCTGTGTCATATCTTATGTGTGTATCTTACAATCAACTCAGTATTTTCTTATCCATTTCCTTTTATGTCACTTTAATAATATTACTCAACGTCAATTAAAATTTCATATCACTTTAATTAAAAAGTCATGACAGTTAAAAGATTTTAATTGATGTAGTATGATCTTATTGAATGGACACAATATCCTTTGATTTTTATAATCCTTATAAGCGACTTTTATTTTATTACGAAAATTTGGTAATATGTGAAAAGAATAACCGTTAAAATTGTCATACATAATACATACATTTATATATATTTATTGGATATGATTGACAATTAAAAATTCTTTTCTATCGTAGGATATTTTTATACCCTGCCACAATGTTCTTTATTATTTTTATGTTGTGATAATAAAATCTTTAAAAACTAGCTCTCTTTATCACAAGTAGTGGTGTATTATCATGAGAATAAATCAAAAGGTACTTAACATATATGCACCCTGAACTTTTTATGGTTTGTAAGTTGCCCTTAAATTTTTAATTTTTGCAAAATTACGCTCTGGACTTTAAAAAAGTGCTGTAAAGTATCCCCAAGTAAATGGCTTCTACATAAATGTCTGATCTCACGTGTTATATGAGCTTGTTTGAAGGAAAACACTGATATTTGAGTCATGATCAAGTTTCTTTTAAAATTTTAGCATTATTTATCGATTTGGAGGCACTTTGCAAGCATAATTAAATGATTAGAAGGCAACTTGCCAATTCAGTAAGTTTAAGAGGCAAAAAGCACCCAAAAAAAGAAAACCCTAAAAATAAAAATGTCAGAAAGGAAGGTTCTTGGCACTTTATTTCATTGAACTTTCGTACTTTGGCCATAAATAGCCACGTGAACTTTTTACTTTTGATAGTTTATTCCTTAAACTTGTCAAACAATGTCAATATTATGGCCCAAATTTATCACCCGCTTAAATTCGTTAATTATTAAAA